AACCAAACCGTTTTGGTTATTTTTTAAAGTTTCTAAAAAACTTTTTTCCAGAAAACCGATCTTTGAAGACCTAGCAGCAGCAGTCATGATGGTATTCAGAATCGGCATGGTTAATTACCTATAGTCAATTAGATTTCGACTGGAAAACGATTTATAAGTTAGTGGACCTCCCTCGTGAGTTCAAAAGCGATTTATATCCTCAAGAGGTTCCGTCATGAGATATATGCAAATAAAGAATGTTGCAATCATTTTGGCGCATCCGGTATTTTGTTTCTGATCAGTAAAAGTTTTCGTTTTACCTATATACGAGTGAGTATGTTGCAATAGATTGTTTATTTTTAATTCATTAGCGTATGTTTCGATACGTTGATGGAATAGATGAAATAATGGAGTCAGTGGTATATAAGAATAGTGTGTAATCACTTGAATTGCAATATTTTGTTTTTGATTATATATGTCATCTCCTTGATTGTTTGCAGATTCAAATGATAGATAATCAATTAAATTTAACATTGATTCAAAACCATTTGTTGATGTTTTCCATAAACTCGTTAAAGCATAATCATTAACTATATTTTTTAATACATATGACATAAAATTTGTAAATGATTTTGTTATTTGTAAATGAATAGAATCTACAAGTCCATCGAATCGTTGTCCACATAAAATTTGTTTTGCTGTTTCATAAATAAGTTTAAACATTGAATGATTATTTTTAGATAAATGTTCATGATATGTGTTAACAATACGTTGTTGAAATTGAGGACATTTTTGAATTATTTGTTTTAAACAATTGACTCGTTTGGCAATATTTGTATTACGTTCATAAAAATCATAAGCATTTGACTTTTTCAATTCTAATGGTAATTCTTTCATTAATATTTCCAAACGACTACAAAATTCCCATATTGATTCGTCAAATAAAACATTTAAATCACATAAAACATTATCATTTGTCGTTTGTTGTTGACGTTCTTCAATTGATCGTTTTGATGATGAGCATAATATACTGAGCATTTTTTGTAAATGAAATGCTGTATTTGGAGTACAAGTATCAAAAAAATAAAAATCCCAATCATATAGATAGATACTTGGATAATATGACTGATTAAATATTTCTTGAGATGGTGAATGTAGTAACATAATGAAATATTTACGAAGAAATTGTTGTTGTTGTTTCATTGTTCTCAAATGCATGATATTATCCGATGAGAATGAATCTAAATTATTTAATATATTATTAGTACATTCTGTTTTATCTATTAATTCTCTCACATAAGGTATATGTTCCCTATTTGTTCCATGTTTTGCATTAATGACGATAATTAGTACATCTTGTTGTTTATCATTTTTAAATAAATCAAATTTTTCTCTTAAATCAATTTCATTATTAATTACGGATAAATTTAGGATATCAATACGAGAACTATTATCGTTTGTGAACAAATGAGATTTTGTTCTCTCATTTAAACCTAAAATATATGATGATGTACGAGTATAAATTGTCACTTTTGTTGTTATTGTATTTGTATTTTGAGTTGTAACAAGTAACTGAACAAAATTTTCTAAATTGAAATGCTCTTGATCATAAACATAATTCATACATAACCAACTTGACACTGGATCTTCGAATGTTGGCAACTTCAATATTAAACTTTCTGGTGATAACAGTTGAATCAAACGAGACAAAACCGATCGTAATAAACATTGTTATAGATCGGTTGGATCTTCTTCAATGATATACTTTGATTTGAATGTTAACTGTGTATAATGATGATTTATATCGATATAAACATTTGGTTCAAGTTTGTAATTCTCATTTCTCGAGACGCTTTGCGGTTGATGGAGTGATTGTGGTATGTACTGTGGATCAGTTGTAACTGCATTGGTAGTTGCTTCTTCTTTTTGTTCTTCTAAATTTGAATCAGATGGTGTCAATTGATGTTCATATGATTTTAATTTTATAAATGAGAGCAATATAGAACAAAGTGAACTATCAGTTAAACCATAGAAGTGTTGTTTACCATAGTGGTCAATGAATGATTGAACTTTACGTTCGACATTATTCAGGATATTTTTCATATTCATTGGTAATTTTTCGAGTTGTATGCGATAAAAGTCATCGATACTCAGAGAATATTTCTGAAAACGGCTCAGAAATGGTGCGGGTATATCTTTAAATTCACTACGTTTTATATGTACAATACATTGAAATTCTTCATGCACTGGTACATCTAATGTTTTTGGACCAAAAGCCACTTTCGAAAATATTTTTCTTGTTTCACCTGTTGCCATAATAGAAAAATTCTGATTGAATACGTCATATAAGGAACCATGTATACGTTGAGTATTTATCATTGATATTGTTTTGCCTCTTTCCATACATAATTTGATTGTTGATAATATTTCAGCATTTCTTAATTCATTATTTACATCATCAATAAAATCTGACATACGAAATTCTGTTGTCGTATTTGGATCCAATATTCCAACTTGATAAAGTAGACGTGAAGCTGATTCATCTTCACTTTCATCTATAACTAATTTGTAACGTCCATACTGACGTCGTTTCAGTGGATCAAGCATCATCGAATCGCGTAATATTGTTATTGTGTTACGATAGTCGTGTTTTTGTGGTAATTTAAAATCAAACTGATGTCCGCATTGATGTTGAATAGAGTCAAAAAAGACTTTTACTAAAATTTCAAATTCAGATCGTTTAATTCCGTTAAAGTTGTTTTCTAATGCACGCAATAAACTTAACGGTGTTATACCATTAATCAGAAGAATTGGATCCGTCATTGTTCTCATATCCATTGCAGGCGTACTTAATTCAAAACGTAATTCTCTTAACATATAGATGAAATCACGGTCGTGAAATATACGAGGAATATCTGGAGATTTTAAAACTTGACGATAACCTTTACATAAACCGGTTATAATGTAATTTAAATACGGTTGAACTTGATCGTTTGGATATTTTTTTCCGAGGCAACATCCGTATGCCAGTGTCATTTGATCATCTTCAGATGGTAATGAACGATACACACACATCATACGATTTGCATTTGCAGCATCAAATAATTTATTTGAAACAGCAATAAAGGCCACTTTAGAATCGTCTAAATAGGAATGAAGGACTTTTAGTACCATTTTATTTTCATCTGGTAAACCGGCTTCATCTAAAAATACAACACATCGGGTATCCATACGATTTTCTTCATAATGTAATTCTCGTCTGATTGCTCTATCAAACACAGTTGCAATATCATCTGATCGACTATATTTTGATCCAAGATAGAAAAACGGATCAGTTGATGGCAACCTTTTACAGAACTCTTTTGGTGACAATTGAGGACCTTGAAGGTTTTGCAACACAATTTGGAAACTAAGAGTTTTGGATTGACCAGGAGTCCCAATGATGCATAAGACAATTTTAGTGGCTACGCTAACCACAATAGAAAATATGTGCTCACGAATCTGAAAGTAACAAAAAGAACTCTATCCATGCCATACCCTACGTTCAAATTTAGTTCTTTTTCTACACCGAAGTATTATATCTTACCGCTTGATTTAATGCAACACCATTTGGAATTAGAAAGTTATCTTTCTTCTTTCGAAAATTTAATTGTGTTTCTAACAATTGAAACATAGTTGTTGTCCACTGATGATCAATATTTCGAAGAAATTCCGATTTTAATAAATCTA